CACACACACACACACACACACACACACACACACACACACACACACACACATTCAAAGAGGTGTGGCGCCGGCCCTGGACATGCAGCTTATCAAATTATGATGCTTGCGATTTACAACTTTTCCCGTGATAAAATAGATCACAGACATACAGCTATTTCAATTAAGGTTGTCCCCGAGCAAAGCGGAAAAGTCGAATACGAGCGCGAAAGGCTGCTGGGGATCGTTAATAAATGAATGAATTTATTAGCGATTCCCAGCAGTCTTTCGCGCTCGTATTCGACTTTTCCGCTTTGCTCGGGGGACAACCTTAATTGAAATAGCTGTATACTGTAATGACTTACTGCCATTTGGCCGTTTGCAGTGGCTGAAAATTCTGAAATGGTTTGACACAACAGATATGACTTCAGATTATATGAAGGGTATTGTAGATGGGAATTATCGAGTGGAAATTTATATACATTTATTAGACCTAATCAGGAACAGAAGCGAAAAATGGGTGAAAGGGCATTGCAACTCCCCATGGCACTGACCAGCTGACCAAAAAATGCTGGATCTCGAGCATCTCAATCTCCGGTGCTCCAGCTGGCACACATCACTAGGTTATAAACAATTGTTTCTTCATGATTTTTTACTATCTTTACTTTAGCTCCAACATCGGCGACCTGTACATCGGAGTCCTGCCTTAACGGTGGTACATGTTTGACGGATGCTAGCGGAGAAAGCAGATGTAGTTGCCCCGAGAATTATATCGGAGCTGACTGTTCTGAATCAATAAGCTGTACAAGCGATGCTCAATGTGGCAACAAGACATGTAAGGTGTATCAGGGTCAGAATTATTGTGATTGCCGTGATGATTTGACTGGATTTTTCTGTGATGTTGCTGTTTCACAAGGTGTGCTAATTAAGTTTATTTATGTTCACATTAGAGTAAGGGGAGGGTTAAGACACTTATCGTGTACACTAGGGAGGCATCGCATACAGGTATATCCGAGCCGGGTGAGATAATCTCGATGTTCATGTCCGGTATTCGGCCAGAAACTTCTAATACTGTGTTTGGCCAGATACTGGATATTAAAAAAGGTTGAGTCGTTTATTTCAGGTTAAAAAATTATTTGATATTGTTGAATATGTATGGTTGTCTATAATATTTTTACTTATTGAAGCTGTCAGTATTTTCTTGCTGGTTTGCGAATGCAAAAAAGCGGATTTTACCTTTTGCAACTATGCAAGTTTATCACTCTTTCGATAATTACGTCACCACTACACTGTTTTCAACTTACGACCACCTTAAATGGAAAGGATTTCAAGTTTTTTTCTCATGGGCTATGCACAGAGAAGCAGAACATCCTTCTCAACATATGCGCGAGAAAAATTTTGGATTTTGATCAATAAATATGGAAATAAGCATTAACACGAAAACGAGGCTCTAGGTCATGGCCTGGAGTCTCGTTTTCGTGTTAAAGCATATTTCCACATTTATTGGTCAAAATAAAGAATTCTTTTTCATGCATGTGTCGAAGAAGGATGTTCTGCTTCTCTGTGCATAGCCCATGGGGAAAAAGCTTGATATCCTTTCCATTTAAGGTGGTCCTAAGTTGAAAACAGTGTAGTTGTGACGTAATTATCGAAACATTGGGTGTATTATTGTAGAAGTCAAAATATTACAAACACCCTCACTTTCCAACCAATTAAAATCATTATCGTAACTTTCTAATCAATTAAAATGAAATCTCAAACCTTCCAGCATATTCAGTGCACCCCTATTGCACACCTAGTTCTAGAATTAAACCTAAACTTTATCATGTTCCTCAATTTATTTAATGGTTACAGCACCCCTCGGCCGTCGGAGCTAGGTATTGGTACCACATTGGTCCAGGGTTTTCTCCATGTGAAGTTCTGGCTTGCTGTGAAAAAGCTATGGCGAACAACACAAAACTAAGGGTTCTTAATTCCGGCCTTCGCTTCCCTACTACTGAGAATAATGTGTAGAGAAAATATAGCAAATATAACTCCAGTGAAGCCACCATCTCTGACCCCTTTTCAAATTATCCGACGACCTCAAGATGCACTAGGTTTGATATCAATCCACTTTAGTTCAAAATATTATCTTTTCATGTCCGGCGTTTTTTGTAGCTACCTGTATTAAGCGTGTTTGACACAGCCAGGGCTTTGTCAAGGCTGCCGAAAATTCAACCAATATTTTAATTTTCAAACTGGTTAGATAAAACATACATGCAAAGAGATTATTTACTTTATCTTTATATCTCCTTTATTTCCACTAGATACGTCATTCCCGTCAAGTGAAGGAATAATAAACAACTTAATACACTACTGGACATTCAACATTATTCCGTTTGGGAGACTATTTGTTGATACAATCCGACGTAATCATTTTACCAGATATGGTACGTATATTCTGACACTGGTGGATCCAACAAGGCTTTTTTAGGGGGGTACTGTGCGAGCAGCCCGGCCAAGCACACCGAACCCAGCACTGGCCAGCAGCGTACTGTTATGAAATTGCACTTGGTAGTTTGTTGGTTACAATTTACAGATATATTGAATAAATATAATCTAATATTTAGGCCTATATAAAATATAAGTACCCGATTCTCTTGATATATACTGTGATTGTGTGAAAGACAAGATGAAATTTTTTACATTTGAACATTTGATTGCTTTTGTAATTTTTATTTTCATTGTCAAATACTTGTAATGTTAGACGTTTGCAGCAAAATTATTAAGAATTTGCTTTATTTAATCCAAGTATCAAACTAAAAAATTATTAATATTGGATTTTGAACTAATGTTGTGGTGCATGCTGCCTTAAATTCTAAAGCTTGAGTTATTCGAAGATTGATAACAAACTTTGAATACCTCAAACATTTAAAGGGAAATGGCAATATATTTTTTTATTTTCGTATTTGAAAGAACTTTTGAAACTATTTCATAACTTCTTTTGCCGATTCTTCATATCTTGCTTAGTTCTTGAAATATTTTCACTTGAAGTAATGAGATGTCAGCCATCTTGGATAAATTTTTTATCTCATTAACGGTAGTTTTGGTGACGTCACAACAGGGATTAACCGTATAAAAGTATTCGTTGTTGACCAAATATTGATTGGTAGATGTTTTAAAGGTTTCAAGTGATCTTGATATTTCCAAGGGCATACGGAGTATAATTTTGAGTGCAAAATGATTAGGGGTTGTCTAGATAAAAATATTGCATGACCCGTGTTGTGACGTAACATGCATATCTACAAAAATCCAAGATGGCGGACATTTCATTTCTTTCGATTAAAACATTTGTAGAAGTAAGCAAGATATGAAAAAACGGTAAAAAAGTTTTATATATGGTTTTAAATGTTCTTTCAAACGAGAAAATAAAAAAATATCTTGCCATTTCCTTTAAAAGTAAGATTTTGTTTAATTTTTACGCCCTTGTGCAGCCCCTATATAAATCCATGACCACTGTATTATTAAAGCGAGACACATATGTATACTGGAATAACTAAAATTAATATTTCCAGTTTATTGCTCTTTAAAAAGTTCGCTAAGGATTTTTGGAGTTGGTAGTCTGTAATCTACATGTAGGTTTAGATAGTTACAATCCAGGTAAATATTATTGTGGACAGCGCGAAGTTTTGAGGGATTCATTTTGAATTTGTTTTAGGCTCTCCATCTTTGGCTTAGCGTCTCTTTCTCCCTAACTTCTCCAGTCATGGTGGGGTTACACAGAACTGTCTTTCCTTTGCAGGGGCACAACGTCTGTACGTATTGGGGGAGGGGTGTGTGACTTCTTCTTGCCCAACAAAAGGGCGTGGTCACCTACCAAAACCGCGCCAAAGAAAGGAAACAGAAAATTTGCCCGACACTTGGCAAAATATCCCCGAGTATCATACCATTTTAAACACATACACACATTGATTGAATTACCTGATTATTGAAATGATTTAATACCTAATTAACCTATACTGCCTCAATACCTAAATTACAGCGGAACAGTAAGGAGCAAAAATATTCATAGACATGTAGCCTGCATTGTTGTTAATCCTGTAAGACTGCAACTACTATGGAAACTTCAAGATTTATCTTGTATGCCTTATCAGCCTTGAAGACATATTGCTTCACACGGCAACACATCGTATATATTGTAATCTTTTGTAGAAAATTCTGAGTCCTAAAAGTAGGTTCCACTTTGGTACAGTAGAGCGTTCAAATAGAGACGATTGATGATGGTTTGCGATTAATCATTGTCCCAGCTACTATTTAAACCTATAGATATTTAAAACCAATAGATTATCCTAATGGCCGAGACACCGGACGCGATTCGATAACGCGGCGCGATTTTTCTCAGTGTGTCTCAGCCATTATATTCATCATTCGCTTCTGTTTGCTATTTTGCTCTGTATTATAACTAGCATATAGAGCGTTTGCACTTATTCCCCAGGGACCAACTCAAGAAAGGCCATGGCGGCCATGTTGGTGTTCCAGACAAAAGAGTCTAATTAAAATTCTTTCGAATTGGAACACCAACGCTCTATTCACGCTTTATTTAGTGATCTATATATATTGTAGAATTGTTAACGGGGATGCCGTGTATGGGACTTATCGTCTCATTCGCTTCTTTCCTTTTGGGAAACGATGTGTATTAATTTAGCGAATAACAGTACAAAAATGTCAATTAGATTATGATAAATTTAACTAGATTTCAGTCGATGTATGTTCGTGTTTTTCAGGAGATACGCGTTTATACAGATCTGAAGATCTTGGAAATGTAGCCAGTTTGAATCGTTTTGGAAGTGGATCACTAATCTCAGGTAATCGATGCATTAAAAGCCCGTCAAAATGAGAGATACTGTAGAAGAAAATTGGCCATTAGAAGTGAGCCGATACTGTACAGGGATGGTGGGTAAGCACCATTATGCAACAGACACCGGAGAAAGAAAATAATTTTATGATTTAGTTCGTTGTATGGAGTATATAGTGGTAAATGAATATAAATTTCAGTAGTATATGATTGTAGTACATGAAGTAAAAAGTATTTTGTGGTAAATGAATATAAATTTAGAGGTGTAGCTGGTTTCCCAAGAGTGTCAGCATTTTTTAAGTAGTATTTAGCATTATTGTACAATTATAATCAGTTATTCCAATTTATTTTTATTCTGATTTTGAAGGTCACATCAATAATAGTTATTTTCATAATATTACTCACCCAAGAATCGAAAATGTTCTGACGGTTCGTACCCCAAGTCCTCCCTTGGAGAGTTTCCCTTGTTAATTTTAGGACTAGACCACTGTTCTCATTTTAGGTACTCTAAAAGATCCATGTTTGGTGGCCCCATACAATTGCACAGAAGGACTGACAGTTTCATTTTGGCTGCAATTTATATCTGGAGGAATCATAATCCATACAGGCAAGGCTGGACTCCACGTTTATGTCGAAGGTGGAAAATTCTTCATCACCTACCAAGGCGTGGACAGAAGCTGGACCATCGAACGTGCATGTATTCCTATGGGCGTCTTCCTCGTGACAGCCACGTGGAGTGCGGCTGGCGGATTGTCGTATTACGAGAATGGGAAACCTGTGGTCTCAACGCAAATCTCCGATCTGAGTTCGATTTCTGGGAATTTTGATGACGTCATCACTGTTGGGTATGAGGAAACTTCGAGCGGGAAAAGATATTCAAGTTTAATCATCGATGATCTGATGATATGGAACCGTGCCCTAAGCTCTGGAGATGTTCGAACAATTTATGATGCTGGTAAGCCGTGAAATGTTTACAGCATTAAATATTTAAAATTGAGACGTACTCTGACTAATTTATTTTAATGGCGAGCTTTCGGCTATCAGGCTTATAGCCTTCACTCATTGAAGCAAGAGATTAAAAATAATTTGATTAGAGAACGTCTTAATTTTAATTTTAATTTCATATTCTACAGTAAGTATGTTAGCAAAACGAATTACATTTGAATACAAATGAACAAGATTTTTTGGAGAGTGATTGCTCTCCCAGTGAGTGTAACGTTTGATCAGTACCGTATCCAGCATTTCTAGTCAAGGAGGGGCGAAAAATCCTCGGAGGGGCCGAAGCAATTTTACCCTGCGTTAGTTCAAATAAAGTTTGTTTATTTTGTGAAAATGTATTTGGACTTCCACACTATCCATGCATAATATGGAACAGTCAATTAACTATTAAGGGTGCGGGCCGGGCTAATGCTCCCCCGGGAGAAAGTGATTAAAAATAATTTGATCAGAAAACGTCTCAATTTTAATTTTTATTCCATATTTTACTATAAGTGTAAGTTAACAAAATTAAATTTGAATACAAATGGACAAGATTTTTTTGAAAGTTAGTGCTCCCAATGACGTGGAAAGTTAGACCAGCGAAAACCCTGGAGGGGCTCAAGCAATTTTACCCTGCGCTAGTTCAGATAAAGTTTGTTTATTCTGTGAAAATGTATTTAGACTTCCACGCTATCCATGCATGATATAGAACAATTAACTTTTAGGGGATACCTGGGGTATGCTCCCCCGGGAAAGGTTTTCAACTCTAGAGTCAGTAAAGTGCCATTTTCAGCATTTTGGGGACTATTTTAAAATGCGGTTTGATGATTTGAAATAACCATTTAACACATAACAACCCTACTTAATCACAAATGAATCCAGAACATTTAAAACATAGGAAGATATAAAATTTCCATTACAAGAAATGGAAATATAATGCGCAAGTTTGTACTGGTCAGAATTTTTCTAAGGGGGCCCAATATTTTGCTATTTTCAAGCACTTTCTTGGCATGTTATCAAGTCGTCCAAACTTCGAAATTCTGTTGGTGTTAAAAACTATAATTATGTGCTTATCTCCAAACGTTTTCATAAAAATTGGAGTTGAGCGTTTGAATACAGAGCGTTAGAAAGTGAGGTATCCCTGTGGGTTAAATTTTTCCTCGTGTCCTTGTTATGTATAAGCGGTCTGGTGCTGAGTAAGAGCCTTGGCTTAAGAAATTGAAGTGAGATTTTATACATTGTTATTTCAGGAGTCTCAACCTCATTTGGCCGTGCATCATGTCTGTCAGGCCCATGCGAATCAGGATCATGGTGTGTTCAGGGTGCTTCATCTACTGAACATGGCTGCCTACAGCCCACCAGTAGTGATTGTTCATTTGAAGATGATCTGTGTGGTTTCAACGGTTTTTATGCTACAATAACTTCGACAAATAGCCAAAGCGCAATCATCGAGAATATGCCGTATCATGATCACACGTTTGGGAACTGTACAGGTAACAAGTCTTATAGACGTGTTAATATTGTGGTATACTTTACGTTTTGGGCACAGTTCCATGTTCGTGTCATAGACGGATTTTTGGGGGTTTTTAATTGAGTAAGTGACGTCACATGGTTACAAACAAAATGAAATATCTCAAGAACTAAGCATGGGAACAAAGGAAAACAAAGGAAAACTTAAACCTATTGTTTGAAACTCTAATTCTATCGTTGTTCCACTACGGAATTGAAGTTTGGGGATCTGCTCTACAGAATAAATATCTACAACGAATTGATCAATTTCTCAGACTAGCTTATCGATTTGGATATACCTTGAGAGAGTATAAAATATCGCAACTGGTTGAGGAGAAAGACAAGTCGTTATTTGCAAAAACTGTGAAATCATGTTTTATATAACCTACTCCCAGAAAGGAGATCCAGAACTTTAAGAGAAAGAAAACACTAATTTATCCTACGTATGATCAAAACTGAACGTTTTAAACGCTCATTTTTAAATAGATGCTTATTTTACTATTTTAATTAGCTATTTTAACTTTATTATGCAATTATATAAAAATAATTCTATTGTAATTCTACTTTTAATCACTGTAATTATAATTTAACTCAATTGGAATTGTAAAGGCACACGTTTGTTGTGCCTCCTTCCTATTCAATAAAGACTTTAAGTTATCCCAAACATGATTACTAGGAATTTTGGAGGAATTTTGTAGCCAGGGTGTGTCGAGAAGTGCGTATTATTTACTAACTCCATGTTACCTTGCTTGTTTTAGTTCCGCCGGCAAAATATCTTGTATTTACACCAACTACTGTTGGCGAGTCCATGATTTCCTTTCTTACCTCCGAAACATTCATGCTGTCACCGAGAGGACATCTATTTCGTTTTCGTTTCTGGTACTTCATGTACGGTCAAGATGCTGGAAATTTGATTGCTCATATCACGCAAGATTCGTCAACCTCAGTCCTTTGGAGCACTACCTCACGTAATGTTAGGAATTGGCAATTTCAGCAAATCGAAATGAAGGCAGCTCAGAGCTTTTTAGTAAGCGTTTTTTTTCTGTTGTGGAATTTATATTTTGGACCGTTTCATTTTTTGGGCCCGCATGAGCGGTCGTGTTGTATCGGATATACATACATGAGCTTGTGGTTAGAGCTTGACAACTAGGCTCTGTATAGCTCAGTTGGTTAGAGCTCAACTACTGGACTCTGTAGCTCAGTTGGTTAGAGCTCAACTACTGGACTCTGTAGCTCACTTGGTTAGAGGTCAATAACTGGACTATGTAGCTCAATTGGTTAGAGGTCAATAACTGGACTATGTAGCTCAGTTGGTTAGAGCTTGACAACTAGGCTCTGTATAGCTCAGTTGGTTAGAGCTCAACTACTGGACTCTGTAGCTCAGTTGGTTAGAGCTCAACTACTGGACTCTGTAGCTCACTTGGTTAGAGGTCAATAACTGGACTATGTAGCTCAATTGGTTAGAGGTCAATAACTGGACTATGTAGCTCAGTTGGTTAGAGCTTGACAACTAGGCTCTGTATAGCTCAGTTGGTTAGAGCTCAACTACTGGACTCTGTAGCTCAGTTGGTTAGAGCTCAACTACTGGACTCTGTAGCTCACTTGGTTAGAGGTCAATAACTGGACTATGTAGCTCAATTGGTTAGAGGTCAATAACTGGACTATGTAGCTCAGTTGGTTAGAGCTTGACAACTAGGCTCTGTATAGCTCAGTTGGTTAGAGCTCAACTACTGGACTCTGTAGCTCAGTTGGTTAGAGCTCAACTACTGGACTCTGTAGCTCACTTGGTTAGAGGTCAATAACTGGACTATGTAGCTCAATTGGTTAGAGGTCAATAACTGGACTATGTAGCTCAGTTGGTTAGAGCTTGACAACTAGGCTCTGTATAGCTCAGTTGGTTAGAGCTCAACTACTGGACTCTGTAGCTCAGTTGGTTAGAGCTCAACTACTGAACTATGTAGCTCAGTTAGTTAGAGCTCAACAACTGGACTCTGTAGCTCAGTTGGTTAGAGCTCAACAACTGGACTATGTAGCTCAGTTGGTTAGAGGTCAACATGAACTGGATTCTGTAGCTCAGTTGGTTAGAGCTCGACAACTGTCCTCTGTAGCTCAGTTGGTTAGAGCTCAACATGAACTGGACTCAGTAGCTCAGTTGGTTAGAGGTCAACAGCTGGACTCTGTAGCTCAGTTGGTTAGAGCTCGACAACTGGACTCTGTAGCTCAGTTGGTTAGAGGTCAACAACTGGACTCTGTAGCTCAGTTGGTTGGAGCTCAACAACTGGACTCTGTAGCTCAGTTGGTTAGAGGTCAACAACTGGACTCTGAAGCTCAGTTGGTTAGAGCACAGCAACTGGACTCTGTAGCTCAGTTGGTTAGAGCTCAACAATTGTCCTCTGTAGCTCAGTTAGTTAGAGCTCAACATGAACTGGACTCAGTAGCTCAGTTGGTTAGAGGTCAACAACTGGACTCTGTAGCTCAGTTGGTTAGAGGTCAACAACTGGACTCTGTAGCTCAGTAGGTTAGAGCTCGACAACTGGACTCTGTAGCTCAGTTGGTTAGAGGTCAACAACTGGACTCTGTAGCTCAATAGGTTAGAGCTCGACAACTGGACTCTGTAGCTCAGTTGGTTAGAGGTCAACAACTGGACTCTGTAGCTCAGTTGGTTAGAGCTCAACAACTGGACTCTGTAGCTCAGTAGGTTAGAGCTCGACAACTGGACTCTGTAGCTCAGTTGGTTAGAGGTCAACAACTGGACTCTGTAGCTCAGTTGGTTAGAGGTCAACAACTGGACTCTGTAGCTCAGTAGGTTAGAGCTCGACAACTGGACTCTGTAGCTCAGTTGGTTAGTGCGCTGCACCGGAATCGCAGGACCGCAGGTTCGATTCCCGCCAGGGATCTAAAGTTGCATTGTTCGCTTCTGTTCCTGGTTAGGTCTAATCATAGCGTATCGCACGGACGATGGCTGTGAAACTCATTAGAATAACAATATAACTCATTATCTATGTTAGTCAAACGTTTATTCATAAATACGGTCCTTCACCGTCACGTGTGTATTGTAGTTTTGCCCAATTAAGCAATAGGAATGTTTTAGGACAGTTACCTATCCGTGACTCGACTTAATTTCATGTTGCGTTTATATGAGAACCGAGCTGGCCCGCCTAACCGAGGTCCCGCTTCATGTGACCCGAGACCTCGGGTAAACGGGCTGGGTAGTTTTCAATATAAATGCAACAGGGAGGGCTAGCCCTCCTAGTAGGGCTGGAAATTTAGCAAATACGCATGCGCAAATAATTAGAATAATTCAGAATGCACAAACAACTCCCATATAAGGAACCAACTTCCATATATGGAGTTGTTTACGCCAAAAAAAATTAGAACAAGAAGAGCTAGCCCTTCATGTAGGCATAATACAAAACATGGACTGGACTGGACAGTTGGACTGGACTGGACAGTTGGACTGGACTGGACTGGACAGTTGGACTGGACTGATTTTTACATTTTCTCTATTCTTGACTTGCACGTCACCCGCCATGTCAGGTGGCATGGCACAAAAGAATATTTTATCACAGAATAAATATACCATGGTGTGTACCAGGAGGAGATTGGTTTCAAGTCAAGAATATAACGTTTTGCACCTGAATTACTTTTGATTTTCGGAAATTGAAATACTTTACCTTCGCCGATGACCTCACTTTATAACTGGAGTGAAATCTCAAGAAACCCCAGTAAGGGGCCGACCATTTAACTTTTGAGGGGGGGGGAGGGGTTGGAGATTTACTGCTGGAAGGGAATTTTTTTCTTGATATGGGATCGTTATGTGCAGGATTTTTTTCCCCTATCCCATCACCATGTACGATATTTTTTGCCACTCTCTCTTTCGCAGCATTTTTTTTTTCAATAGCTTATACTATTTAGATTCTTTAATTAATAATAGTTAACGTTGCGTTTTCTAGCTTCATGCATTGCTTTTAATAATACATATTGCTATGAGGTATAAGATTTGGTTCAGGGCCTCTTTACGGATGTGTAACTGGAGGGGACATATTTAGCGGGGACCTGGAGAAGTTCCAGTCGGCAAGTCTGTATCACTGCAGCTACCAGCATATATATATATATATATATATGCATGGTTTAACTAATAAGTATACGCCATAGGGCAGCAGATCAGGCCAATATTAACTAGGATTCTGAGACAACCGAGTCGACCACCGAAGGTGCAAGCCTCTAGAGGGGTCTGGGGGCATGCCCCCCCCCCCAGAAAATTGTGGATTTTGTGACGCTCAGATAAGCTATTTCCAGCATTTTCAGGAGTTTTCCAACAAGAAATTAACCTTACACTATAGTCTCCGAAAATCAAACCAGCTGATCTTCTGGGACTGGTCAAATCGATCCCTGCAACCATGTTATTTTGCAACATTTTTTCCCCCACCAAATACTGGGGCAGGATATTTTTTCCCCCAGTTTGTTAGTGCAGGCATTTTCTTTTGTTCAGAATAGCCTTGCAGGAAATCACCCCCTCCCCCATCCCCCTCAAAAGTTAATGGTCGGCCCCTAAGAAGAATAGAATACAATACCAAACATAAACTACTTTGTAGCCTGCTCGGATACGTATTGCCATGATCGTAAGAAGATCTTGTGGGGGGGGGCTCATATTCATATATTCATGTTCGCAGACTGTAAAAACAATCAAATTCAAAAGAAGTTAATGATGCAGACCACAAATATATGAATATGAGCTCCTGCCCCCCCCTGCCAATTATCTATCTTTCTATGCCCATGGCCATGCAGACTGAAATATCGAAATTTAATACGTATGCGAGCAGGCTACCCATAGCAAAGACAGATAAGTAGTTTATGTTTGGTATTGTATTCTATTCTACTTACTGGGGTTTCTTTCGCTTTAAGAGATTTCACTCCAGTTATAAAGTGAGGTCATCGGCGAAGGTAAAGTATTTCAATTTCCGAAAATCAAAAGTAATTCAGGTGCAAAACGTTATATTCTTGACTTGCAACCAATCTCCTCCTGGTACACACCAGACAATGTTCACTGATAAAATCACAAAATACTTGACACGGTATATCTATTCTGTGATAAAATATTCTTTTGTGCCATGCCACCTGACATGGCGGGTGACGCGCAAGTCAAGAACAGAGAAAATGTAAAAATCAGTCCAGTCCAGTCCAGTCCAACTGTCCAGTCCAGTCCAACTGTCCAGTCCAATCCAGTCCAACTGTCCAGTCCAGTCCATGTTTTGTACTATGCCGCAAATTAGGCAAAGCACTGTAGGCAAAGGCATTAATTACACCCGTTTTCAAAATTACGCAACCTCCCTGAAAATTACTCTTACTTCAAATGTCAGTTTTATGTCACAAAAACTGCTAAAAATAGCAAACGTAAACAAACTGTCAAAAGACATTTTAAACCGTATTTAATACCAAAACTGAACAAAAATGAGTTAGATAACTTAGATATACAAACTAAAGCACAATACAAACCACCACGTAGAAAGTGGGTACTTTGCATATTCTACAAAGCGAAATATCTCCAAAACGACGAACGGAAAACAAATGTGTAAAATATTTAAGTTACAATTTTAAAAGTTCTTTCAAATGAGACAATAAAAATTTTGATGTCATATGCCCTTTAAGGAAGAAATGCTGTACATCGGAAATTTTAGGCCGTGCTACAAATAAATTAATTAATAATTCACAATAATTCACACAAGTGGAAGTGAAAGTGCAAATTCACCGAGACGCGAAAACAAAAGCTTTTGCAAGCTTTTAGTGATTTTATTCATTAGAAATAGTTTTAAAAGCTGCCTCTGGACATTGTTAAACCAAACTTTGTGACTTCCTTTGTGTTTGGCAGAACCGCGGTGTCGCTTAACAAAACATTTGCTCGTTTCTAACCGGAACAAAACAGGAAGACATTTTGTTTTAGTCGGGAGGTGAATAATGCAAGGATACCCAGAACTGGGCAACCAATCAAATTGCGCGCAAAGCACCATCCACCCTTCCGAGCATACAGTATGCTAAATCTAATTATTCATTCTTCGTAATGATACAATGATTTTTCTGTGTTGGTGGTGTTATGTACTCAGGTGAATATGATGTTCGTGATGTTACTGTGAGTGTATATCCACACCGGGCAAGCTTGAAAAATATGCCTGGCCACGGTAGGAATCGAACCTACGACCTTTGGAATACTAGCCTAGAACTGAGTCTAGTTCCTTCGATATCAATGCAATCTAGTAATCAGGATTTTTTCTGTGTTATCATGATGATACAATGAAATCATGATGATACACGTGAAATCATGATGATACAATGATTGATACAATGTTGATGATACAATGATTGTTTAAATAGAAAGGATACATTAACTGCGTACAAGCGGTGATAGCAATTCCTCTTGTTTCTGTTGTCAACGTTGACCAGGACTCATTGCTGATATAGTTCTTAGGAATGAAATACGAAAACAGTGAATATTAATAATACTGTATCCTTCTACACTGACAAATATTTAAACAGCCAGTCATACGCGTGCGTTCTAGATGGCCCGCTTATATTATGCACGACCACTTGAAAGAAATGCCCTTTGGAAGGCGGGTTATCATATTGAGATATTGAAAAGTTTGTGAAAATGTGTACATTCTACAACGTACACGCGCAAAAATCGCACAGCTCGTCAACAAGGCGTGCTCGCACTGTTCGTTTCCAGTTGTTGGCAAGTCTGGAATCAGTTGTAACAAGATTGATGCGCCCAACAGTCTTGCAGCCAGTTGTTCCGGCAAGGCTGATCAATCGTCTTGTTATAACAAGTTGGTGACAGCAAGTTCGTAGCAACTTGTTACGGACAGCCTGTATTAGTATTGTTGGAACAACTTGTAACAAGTCTGTTGCCACCATCAATCTTGTAACTTTGTAACAGGGTGATAACAATTTGTTCCTCGACTTGTTTCAGATTTGTCACAAAAAGTGTGTACTTCATAGCTTCAATTCGCAAAACATCGTAAAGGTCATTCACAATACGCCTTGCTACAGTATTTACAGCCAAACGTCTTCTTCATAGGGTTGGGCGATATTTCGATATTTTGATTTATCGCGATATTTTCAATCGCGATTATCGTATCGAAGGTAGAAACTTGAGCGACGATATATCGAAATTATCGTCATGCTCGTTGACTATCGTGATATTGCTTCGCATGTGTATATAGCTTTTATAAAGATTGTAAAAAATTGTTTTTAATAGAATTTCTTGGCCGCCGGATCTTCGTAAATTGTTTGTCTTTGTTCGCGACTCTCATCCAATTCCAACTAGATCGTCTATTACAGACTTAAAAGTTCCATCAGTTAAGACTACGCAAGCAAAATCCAAAATTTCCTTCAGTGGTGCAAGTTTATTTAATTCCCTACCTTCCGAATTAAAAGATATTGAAAATCATTCAATTTATTCCTATAAAAAGAAGCTCAAAACCTACTTTATTCAATTGAATTATGAAGTAGATCACGTTAATAAATTCCGCTGCATCGATTGTAAGCATATTACTCATTGTCAATGTTACTCTCAATAGGATTTTCTTTTTATATATTACTATTAGATATCGAGGGCCATTGGGAAGAATACTATATTAAGTAATCAGTGTAATCCCTCATTAAATAAAGTTTTATTATTATTATTATTATTATTATAATTAAAACTATTTCCTGAATATACGATATATTGGTTAATTCTTGGTGTTACGGTCAGCAATATACCATTCTAACTTTTATACATCCTAATAATCCCTACTTATCACTGGTAATCTAGTACTCCTTGGTAAACTAGTAATCCTTGGTAAGTGAGTAAGGCTTGGTAAGTTAGTAAGCCTTGGTGAGTTAGTAAGCCGCTGAACAATGAAATTGCAGGCCTCGCTTGCACTGTGTACCCACAGCATTTGTGCCTGTGGAGACACAGTAGACACACAATAGACAGTTCAGGTTTATGAACAGTAAATATTAGACTAGAAAAAAGCCTTCATATTACTTTAATTTGTTGTTTTACTTGTTTTTTAATAAGATTATATATAAGCTTACTGGTCATTGTTTTTATTGATTTATCGCGATATTATCGAATATCGTGATAGTTTCCTCGACAATAATCGTGAGATGATTTCTTTTAATATCGCCCAACCCTAGTTCTTCATGTTTGCTATGCCTTAAATATCTGAAGGTCGTTAATGATTCCTGGTAGAATTTGGGAGTTGAATAAAAAAATAGCTAATATATACTGTATACCTAACATCACATTGTGATACGCAACTCGTTCCACACAAAGCACACTAACTCTGTTCCATACTTTGTGATGTTTAAACATTTTAATCGTCTTTTCCATGCCTCAAGAGTAAAAATTTGCAACGAATTGCGCCTCGCGATCGTTGCAATGCGATCAACCTGCTGAGCAACGCTAAATACCAGTCAGTAGGAATAAGAAGCCAATTTAGAATGACCTAATTTATATATTTTGCAATTTATATTCGAGGTTTGAAAACTCGAAACTTTACCAGGAGGAATGTTGAACAAGTTTCGTAACTCTGGGCGATACTTACAATCATATGCTTCAACAGTTCATTCCGTTTCGAGAAAGTAAACTGCGCTTGCTGTAAATGGTTAGGATGACAAGCCTTGGCTATCAGTTCAACACAATGAATTAAACTCTGTTTCACACCAAGATCCTTAAAAATGATAAAGTGCAATCGGTTAGAAAATACATCCTACTTACAAAAAATTTATTGTCTCACTTGAAAGAACGTGCAAAATTATCTCTAAAATCTTGTTACAGATTTTTAATATCAAGCTTAACTCTTGAAATATTCTGACTGAAAGCAATGAGCTGTCCGCCATCTTGGATTAATTCTTAACATCATTAACAATTGTTTTGATGAGGTTAGGAGTGGGGTTAGTCTTATAAAATTACGTCTAAGTTACAATCAAAAGTTGTTTAAAATGTTTTTATTCAATTCGAAATCTGAAACAGGAAACAAAAAATAATTTGGGGTTCATATTGTTCGCTGGCTGCCAAGATAAAAAACTTGTGTGACCCCACTTGTGACGTAATATGCATAAAGCTCATTGCTTTCAGTCAAAATATTTCAATAATCAGCCCAGCTGTGAAAAATTAGCCTGCGTAGCAGGCGTTTAGTAGAGAGGACGACGCCCTCTCTTCTCCCACCTGCACTAAACGCCTGCTACGCAGGCTATGAAAAATCTGTAAGAAGATCTTTCAAATGCAAAAATAAAACTTTTTGGTGCCATTATCCGGTCAAATTATATATTGATTTACCAAGATCTGACTCGGGGGAGGAATTTTGGGAAGCAATCGTGCGTTGAGACAATATTCTTTCTTTTAATAATAATAATAGCATTTATTTTAACACGATAGATATTTACAGCATACAGCTGATGGGGTCGTGTTTTAATCACAAAGAAGCCGAAGGTACAGCTAAAGCTGTATCAGAATGTAGGAAATGCAAGGGTGCTGCAAAGAAATCATGCAAAAACCACAATGTTCTCAAGAAGCATTCCACCGATCTCTCTACAACGTTGACTCCTTACTGTACATTTGCAGCATCAAAATATTGCAAAACTATAGTCTTAACTATTTTTAACTATCCATTTCGCAGTTCAATTGTACTTTCGCACGAACTATAGTTAACTTTAACTTTACTTTTCTATACAACAGGGCCCAGACCACTAAAACATTGAATCTGACCAAGTGAACTTTACTTTCCCGTAACGACCTTGCTGGCCTTTGATATCCGTACCTTAGGCTGGGCTAGGTGAGGACTGATTATACGGTAAATGCTGGTTTCTAATCTTGATGCGATAAGACTAAACAAAATAAAAATAAAACAATCGCTGTGTTAATATAGGTAATCACACGGGAAGGAGTGCAATTAATGATTAACACTACGAGTGATATTTGAAAAATGTGCCAAAATTGCACGAGCCGCCGAGGCGAGTGCAATTTGGCACATACTTCAAATAGCACGAGTAGTGTTAAGGCCGTTTTCCACAAGGCGGAATTTTCCGCGCGGACCGGAATTTCTCTTTGTCTTTTCTAATTAGTTCCAGCCGAGAAATCACAAGACAAAGAAAAATTTGCGCTTCGCGCGGAAAATTCGGCCTAGTGGAAAATGGCCTTAATTCATTATTCAAAAATCGTATTATAAAGATTAATGCCCAGCATAACGTACGATATGCTGGGCATTAATCTTTATAATACGATTACGATTCCCGCCTGGTTCATCACTTGCAAATTATTCAAAAACTCATTGATAATTCATGAGGAAAACACAAAGAGAAATCATAAGCGTGCCGTGTCTTTATATGTGATAAAACACGCTTCAAATTTCAACTTGTGATAAAACACGCTTCAAATTTCTCAGCTAATATACAAAGTTATTTTGGAAAATTATTTCGCCAATGCCGTGATCTAACTGAGACGTTTTTGAAGCTGTTTAATAAACTCGTAGTTCGTGTTTTATCACATATAAAACACTCCGCTACGCGTCGTGTTTTATATGTGATAAAACACTCCTACTCGTTTATTAAACAGTACATTGCGCGACTTGCCCGTGTGATTATTTATTTATTATATGCATGACAAAATCGCTTTCTTTAAAATTCAACTGCATTTTGTCAAGAGTTTTTAATTCTTTTGTAAGCAATTTGGTATAAACAAACTTGGGAAATTATTGTAAACTCATAAAGGCACATAACTTAAACTAGAACACACGATTCAAACTCAAACAACATATTTTAGAGTAAGAAAATCTTGATAAATTGTATTACAAACTTACATAGTCACGTTTCGCTGCATCCCGCCGATATTATTTCTTAAGACTGTTTCCAGGTATTTCCACAGGCTCTTTTTGCCATGCAATGTTTTTTAAACTCATCTTTGTGCCAAAATGTAGTTAAATTCGTCCACATTTGTTAAAAATACTTATTTAAATTTCGCCGCCATATTGGATTTTGTTGTTTTGATTTCCCGCTCCCCCCAGCCATCACGAAAATCATTAATTGCACTCGTAGAGAGTGTACTATTCACTAATCATTAATTGCACTGATCTTAACCAATCAGATTGCAGTAATTTTGTCATGTATATAATAAATAAAATAAATCCCTTATCAACTGCATGTGGGAGGTTTTGGTAATATCTGCGTTTGGACATTTTTCTGGTGTCATAAGATCAACAAACATTCCAACGTATTGAAATTCGTGGCCATGTTTATAGTTTCTGCCGAAATTTCGGGGGGGGGGGGGTAAAAGAAGAAAATATGAAGTGCAAAACCTCCTACCTTGGTGGACCATAAAGGGCGACGTACCCAAAGCACCACATCACTGTACTTTTTATTTTCTCTATATCACCATGAGACTTATCCTAAAGAAAGAAACCAAGCTCTTATGCCTACATTTCAAATGCCGCTCCGGCAGGGTTTCCGATAGAAGACGACATGCACCCGCCTATTTTTTTCGCCGTCTATAGCGCAATAGCGGTGATTCTCGAAATCACAACGTAAAACATTCCCTCCTTATCACAGAAATGTCAGGAGAAAGGTTTCTTGTTTTGATAACACAATTTTTAAATCATATTGTTCGTTCAATATTTGGATAATATGACACAATCTTCGAAACGACAGTATTCTCTAAAATGGCTCGAATTGTCATTTCTGAGCTGGGTCAAAATTTCAAAATATTCTCGGTGAGATGCCCTCGGGGATTTATTTAAACCCATACGTCTTCACAAAACAGCTAATCACATTTAGCATTAAGCATTAGCTACATAACATTGCCGGAGATATAACATTTATAGTACGCGAGTGTTGATTGGTCGAGAAACGTGTTTCTATTATTGCATGGAAATACAATTTCTTAAATAAATTTTATACGCGGTTTGTGTCACTATACATGCACTCTTGCACCGTCGCTGTTACAACACAATTAAGTTTGGCGCGTGAGTAAACCAGTATCCGAAACGGTATTAAGGAATTCATCATCAAAGTTTCGTAAAGCACATAATGAAACATTAATCCACACCGTAAATCATCTGTTAACCACCCAGGGAGTCTTATCTATTTCAGAAACATTTGAAGTAACATTTTAAATCCGACATGAGGACTGGACTAGATTTCAAGTCGGCGCAATTTGATCAAGCCCGAGGCGAAGTCAAGGGCTGGATCAAAATGCGAGGACTGGATCAAAATGCGAGGACTTGACATGTCATCTCATACGAATAAATCACCACTTAAACGGAGATGAATTAATTTTGATCCAGTCTTGGGACTAGATCAGTATGCTTCACCAGGTATCCAGAATTGTCATGTGAGCAAAGTAAAATGGGAATTATTAATGAGTTTGAGATGATCGCTTATTGGAGAGGAGTTTATTACAAAACAAGGGGGTATAAATTTTCCCAAAACGCAGCAATGTGCATGTTCATCAACCCAATCAAACAAATCAATATTAATAGAAAACATTTCGTTGTTGTAATCGAAGGAGGCTAAATATATATACATACATATATATATATATATACATACATACATACATACATACATACATATATATATATATATATATATATATATATATATATATATATATATATATATATATATATATATATATATATATATATATATATATATATATTATATATTTAAAAAACTCATTAATAATTCAGGAGCAAAACACAAAGAAAAATCATAAGCGTGTCGTGGTTATATATGTGATATAAAATCATGTTAATTTACATAAACTTTAGCTTTGATTTTCTCGGTTTAGACAAAGTTTATTTTAAAAATTACTTCGCCAATGAACTCTTATAAGCTGAGTCGTTTTTTAAGCCATTTAAAGCACTTGTAGTCGTGTTTTATCACATATAAAACACTCCGCTA